GGGATGGAAAAGAAGTGTACGGAGGGGGAGGGGAGGGCAGGGAAGGGAAGGGGAGGGAAGGGGAGGGAAGGGGAGGGAAGGTGAATGGGGCCAGAACAGAGGTGTAGTGAGGTGGACGGAAGGCGAAGGAAATCGGCGGGAAGTGGAAAGCGACAGAAAGGAGGTGTAGGGAGGGGGAGGGAGGGAAAAAAGAGGCATGGAAGGGAATGGGAAAAAGTTCAAAAAACTAGGGGGAAAGAAGGGGGAGCATATGGGAAAGCAGTGAAGCACACAAAAGGGAGGGGGAAAAAAAAGAATGGACTTCTGAAGTTCTGATCATCTGATGTGATTACTTTTTGGCCATCGACACTGTGTTTCTGCAGGAGAGCCAATCATTCACTGATTTGGAACACAGCAAGGGCAAGTTTATTTCAGCAATTGACTGGATGCCGGGTCGTCGAGGTAAGGGCAGGGGGTTTGAGGGTGGGTGGGGGGTCAGTCTGGTAGGGGGTTCAAAAACGACCCTGTCCGCTGTTCAGACCTTGTAAACTGGGAAAACTGACTGTTGAACTGTGGAAAGCACAGCATTGCTACTTGGGAAGGAACGGAGAGCACAAAGAAAAAAATAGAAAATAATAAGAAAAGAGCTAGGCTACCAGCCGGGCCGCCCGGGTCACCCTGTTTTCCCGGGCGGCCCGGCCGTGCAAGGACCAGGGAAGGACCAGGAAAAAAAGAAAAAAGAAAAAAAACCTGAAAAAAACTATGTTATGCAGAAAAATAAACTGAACAACTCTTGCCTCAGGGGCACATCGAAATTTTTTACCAAATTTGAAATAAAAATTTAAATAAAAAAATTACAGCCTCCTGAATCCTGATGTGTCGGTGAAACTCCGACGAAACAGTTTGTCACAGCCCGTCATTTGTTGTCCTCTTCTCCCTCTCTGCCTACGGTTTACCGGGCAGCTCTGTTTGACGATATATCGTCAAACAGTATATTATTTATTTTTGGCCCGGCCGGGCAAGTGGTCCCGGGCCACTCTGGTAGCCTAGAAAAAGAGAGAAAAATAAACTGGCAAGCAAATGCTGACTATGATCTTTGCAACTACTGTATGGATTCGAGCAAGCAAGGAGTTGCTGAAAGGATTATGAAACTTTTTCGAGTATGATTACTATGATATATAATGTTATATATTTTGATGCAAGGAAAATGAGCAGTAGCGAGATGACAATAACCAGAATGCACAATCACATTGAAGGCCAGATAGTATCAGTGTCCGGAAAGCAGAAATGCACCAATATAACACCAATGAGAGCTAGCTCTCGCCACCACCAACACGAGTGTCCAGGCCCTATCTCCCTACTTGGCGCTCGGCGCCCAGCCTACTTTCTACACAGCTATAATCTGCCTACTAATTGAAATTGCAACTGTTGACGTCATCAGCTCATGAACTACTTGAAGATGTCGCCCAAATGCAGACCATCGCCAATACCAGGTATGTGCCCTCACATCATCATCATCATCATCATCATCCTTCTCTCTCTCCCCTGACTTACTCCCACGTCTTCCGTTTCCCTCAACCAACTGGCGCGACGAAAACTGCCTGGACCCCAAATACGATATTGACAGCTTAGGGCCTCTCGTGATTTGTTAGGCCCGCCTTCACTCAGGGCGGGCACATCTGCTGCAAGAGGCCCCTTAGGCCTGCGGAGGACCCAGATCCTCGCACTGATGCCAAAAAAAAGGAAAGATATTCTGAGGCACATCTTTTTCCTTTTATTATGGAAACATCATCAAGGGCCTGACTATTGGAGGTGATTTGAGCAACCTACAAGAATGGGCACGCCAATTGTATTAAAAAAAAAAACAAAAAAAAAACAGAACCTTAGGGTTCTGGCTCCTTTTCCATTCTGGGGAGCATCAGTCCGGTGCCTATTCCCCCGGCAAGTCAGAAAAGATAAGTACTCACTCACGCTCCTCCCCCTCATGGTGTGGAGGCCCGAAGGACAGCATTGATTACTTCCCGAAGGAAGGATGTACCACCCTTCACCCCTGCCTAAGTTAGCCAGCACTATTTGGACCCTGCTTTGAACTGCTATTCTGAGTGTCCTAACTTTTGGTACCTGTAGATTGCCTCCTTGGGGCCAAGCCTGCCTGTTCCTCTCAGCGTCTTGGCTGTCGAATTTGCTTCACTTTGCTGGAACTGCTAGTTTGGTATCTCACATTGGCCTTGCTAAAATCCTATGCCCTGTCCTACAGGTTGCTAGATACCCTGCTAGGGCCGTCATACCTAGTTGACTTCTCCCTCGCCCTTTTGGGTCGTTTCGTGTTTCTTCTGCTAAAACCTTGAACCATTGCATGCTTAGATCTGAATATGTGTTAGAACCCTAAACCCTAGAGATCTTTTCTTGGCCTTGTTATAAACCATCGTTGGCAGTGTTTGAGCTGGACTGGCCTGTCACTCTCTGGTAGCTATACTGAATCTATTTGCCCTGTCTGTGCCCTTATTTCTGCTTTCCAGAGGCCCTTGGGCCTGCCTTCATGAAGTTCTTTGATTCGGCTACTGTACTAGTTTGTGTTCTAGGGGCGGGTTTGGTTCTTTTATTGGTCTCTTCTAAGCGGTGTCCATGTGGATGTTAAAGGATTCGGGGACACTAACGAGAGAGTGAGATTCTGCTTGTGGTGCACTTGTGCTTCCTTCCCAAAGTGTAAAGACCAGGCTATGTCCTTTGATTCTTGCAATTTTACCTCTTGCCAGGTAGTTGATCTCAAAATTGTTTTTGTGTTCCTTTGGTCTTATCTCATCCTTTCTCATTTTCCTTCTCACTCTGCGCCACAGTACCCAGAATTCTGTTTCAAGTTTCAACCTGCTGTTGGAATAGACCCATGCTTCCTGGTTGTGCATTGGCTGTTTATCTATTGTCTCCCGGCATCTCTTCCTCTGAATAGTCCAAAGGGACACCTTCCTAAGGATTCGAAAGAGATTGCTCTCTGAGTTCGGCCAATCCTTTGGTATGTTGAAGCCTAGCAATAGGAGTATGGGGTTGTTAGTGAATTCGAGAGTGGTTGTTTTCTCCCAAATGTTTTTGATTCTTTGCCATAGGGACTGTATTCTGGGACATCTGAAAAAGCAGTGGTACAGATCCTCTATCTGGCCTTCTGAGCAAGTGGATCAAAGCTCTTTAAGTGTGCTTCTATCCTCTTTTCTTGGCCTCACGTTTAACCATTGATTAAGCGGGACAGCGAGGTAGAGAATAAGCCATTGCAGGCTTCTGAATTTGGGCGGGTGGGTTGTGGCTACTTGGTTCCGTGGTATCTGGTTGCAGTTTTACGGGTCTACTTGTAGGTGATTCCACCATCTCTCCGCTATCACTGGGTCCGTTTTTTTTTCTTCTTCTTCTTAATTTGTATCCTAGGCTTGTGGTGTATTGTAGGATATTAGATTTCAAATTGATACCTGTGATTCTTTCTCTCTGATTCCATTCCCATTCTGCTGGGTCCACCTCTAAATTCTCTAGAGCTGTTTGTGGATTGTACAGGGTTAGTTCGCCGTTTTCTACTATTACTTTTCTGAGGTTGTCTTTTCTGACTGTGACATGACCCTCCGAGTCTTTCTTTACCCTGCTGTAGTCCTTATGAGGGTCCTATGTATGCATAGTAAAGGTGATCCAATTGTCTTTTCCTTATATGCTAATGCGTGTTCTAGAGTAATCATGTGTGTCATTATCGCCCTGTCTCCCCTTTCCCATTGTCTATTATTTTTGAGGATTGGAATCCATTTTGAGGGTATGTCATTTGTTATTTGTTGTAGGTTGTTCGCTAGACGATGGCAGCCCTTGAGTGTGTTTCTGAGCTGTTTCTCATCCTTCCACTCTTTCTTGATATCATCCCATATGTGTTTCACCTGCCAGATCCCCTTTTCTAGCCAAGCTCCCCATCTTGTGTCTTTTGTGGTTAGCGTTAAGGGTTCCTCGTCTTCTGCTATCCACGGATTACAGAATAGCAGCTGCCTGAGGATCTTCTCTTTGTTTTGTGGCTTTCTTACTTTAGCGGGAAATATTTCTCTCCAAGCTCTAATGATGTTCCTCCATAAGTTTAGTCTTGTCTCACCTTTCGTCTGTGGAGCGTTCGGTGATCTACCTTTCATTGACCATGATTTACACATTAGCCAAAAGAAGCCCTCCATATTCGATGGTGTGCTATACACAGGTAGTTGGTGAATCCCCTCTAAGGTCAGCGCCCTCCATGGAAGGCTGGGTGTAGTTAGCAATTTGGATCCATTTCATTTGGAGGGCCTTTATTTGAGTAGTCGGGTCTAAAACTCCCAGTCCTCCTTGACTTTTTTCCCTTGTGACATATTGCCACGCAGCCTTGGTTATGAAGTGTTGCCTAGAGGCATCCCTTGTCCATAGGTAGGTTGCGGCCTTCCTATTGAGATCTTTTATAGCCCTGTACTCGGGGTTCCAGAACGCTGCGACATACGACATCATTGAGAAGATGGATGAGCTTAGAATCATGGCTCGTCTGAATAGCGAGGTGTGTACCTTCTCCCAAGCATTGAGTTTTGTAATTAATTTGGCCAGCAGACTAGGCGCGATCTCTGCGGCTGCTTCCAATTCGTTAAGTTGGATTCTCACAACTCTCCTTGGGGTGTTGGGATCTGACCATGTCATGCCTTCTGGTGAGTTTTGGGGTGGATTGCTGTTATCGTTTGTTAGCCACCAACCTACATTTTTTTGCCAGTTTATCCTCATTTCTGAGGCCAGTTGGTATGCGTTCATTGCTCTCGTGAGGGCCTCGAAGGAGGAGTTAGTGACTCTAATTAACACTGTTAGATCATCAGCGAAAAGGATGGTGGGGGGGATGGTGAGGTTGCGGGTATTGTCCTCTGATGTCGACATAATCCTTTATATGGAGATTTTTTTTTCTATGGAAGGAGGCTATGGCCTCCATTATGAAGAGGAAGATTGACGTTGCAAGGGGATCCCCATGCCTCACTGATCTTGACATCTGCTGGATATATGGTCGTTTACCTGCACTGCTCCATATGCGTCAGTGTATAGAATTTTTACCCTCTTCCTAAAGATGGGACCCACCCCCATTCTCTCCATGCATTATTGTAAAAACTCCCAATTAACTTGGTCGTATGTTTTTTCTAAGTCGAAGAAGAGGATGGCTGCGTTGATTTTCTTGTCGTTGATGTATCTCACTGATTCTGCTAGAGTCATTATGTTGTCTAGTATGAATCTGCTTGGGATGAAACCCGTTTGATCTATATGAAAACATGATTTGGTGATGTTCCTTATTCTATTTGCTAGAAGTTTAGCTAAGATTTTTTATGCTACCGTTAGGAGTGTAATTGGTCTATAGTTCCTGATGTCGGTTGTGTCACCCTTCTTGTATAGTAGTGTGACTATTCTTGTACTTAAGTAGTGTCCTAATCATTGGTTTGCCCAGGCCGTTCTCATAAACGTCCAGAATTCCTCCCCCAACAGTGGCCAGTAGGTTTGTCAGAATTTAGATAGGTCGTCTAGCCCTAGAGTTTTTCCAGGTTACATCGAGTCCAAGGCATTTTTAATTTCTTCATTGGTTATGGGCTTATCCAATTGGTCGGCCAGGTTGGAAGGGATTGTTTTGTCCAGATGCTGGGTGAATTTATGTATTNAATTTCTTCATTGGTTATGGGCTTATCCAATTGGTCGGCCAGGTTGGAAGGGATTGTTTTGTCCAGATGCTGGGTGAATTTATGTATTGCCTGCACGACTGACCTTAGTGTTGGTTCCTCGACTTTGGAAGTATAGAGATTTTTGTAAAAGGGTTCTTCTATAGACAACATTTTCTTCGGGTTTGATGTAAGTCCGTCCTCTCCTCTTAACTGATGAATGGCTGCGTTTGTTTCCTCTTGCTTTATTTTTTTGGAAAAAGAACTTCGTCATTTTTTCTCCGTCTTCCCATTCTTTGATCCGAGCTCTCATGTGTAGACCCTTTGCCTTCCAAGTGTTCCTATTGGCCAATTCTGCTTTGGCTCTTGCCAAAATTTCCTCATAGGCTGACTCTCCTAGGTTGCTTATGAGGTTTCTTTCTGCCAGATTGACTGCTGCTTCTAGTTCCTTTATTCTTCGGCCTCTCTTGGCTGCTATCTTCCTAGAGGCTGACGAAGCTGCTTGGGATAGGTTGGCAACTAGTGCTGGGAAATCTGCGCCCTTCCTCTCTGCGTTTATGCAGGCATAAGCTATTGCTTCCCTCATTTGTTTAGTGTGTAGTAATAAATTGTTGATTTTGAAGAAGCTTGTGCCTTTCTGTAGTCTTGGGTCAAATAGAAGGTTTAGAAATAAGGGAGTGTGATCCAAACCGTTGCGGTACATAGGTTTTCCTAGGCTTGTGCTGTGGATTGTGCTTCTGAGAGATTCGGATATGAGGAACTAGTCTTTTGCGGAACTTGTTATGTGTTGGGTTCTATTTTTCTTCCTATATGTGAATCTGTTTGTTTCTGGTTGTATTGTTCTTAGGGGTTCTATTAGATCCCTTTCCATCATCAGTGCTCGTATTACTTGTGCTTCTGCAAGAAGTGTGTCTTCCCCACCTCTTTGCGAACATGAGAGTCTATCACCAGTTGGATCTAGGGTGGTGTTCCAATCTCCTACCAATATGGGGCGTTTCTGGCTGTTACATCTGGCTGCTATGTTATGTATGAAGGTTTGTCTTTGGGTGGGATCGTTGCGAGCGTAGACATTTATTAATTGAATGCTTTCTTCTTTGTAGGTGATGTGTATTTCTATCCATCTTTCTCCGTCCTCGTCTATTCTGACTTCCAATGTATCGAGTGATTTTGCTGCTTTTGAGTTTTGATGCCAGAGGATGGCTGTACCTGCTGAGCCTGCTCTTGGAGATGGGGCCTAGTAACCTACCTGTACATATTTTAATCTTGTTAGGATTTTCTTAATCGTTGCCTTGTGCTCGATAGAATCGGTCAGGTGGGTTTCTTGAAGACATATTATGTCTGGTGGATTCTTGGTGAACCAGTTGAGAGATTTGGTCATATTGTCCCACTTGTCTGTGTTGGATAGAATAGTCACCGGTCCGTTAACATTCCATGACAGTATCGTTAGCTCAGGCTCTGGGTTTTAGTATATATCTCTTGGGAGTCTATGGATCTTGTGCCTGAGGTCGTGGCGCTGGTAATGTCATGGATTGTTATTTGGGGGTTGACGTGGGCTTACTTTGGTGGTTAAACTGGTTGGGGGTGATGGAAGCCTGCTGGTTATGCCGTGACCTGGTTCTGCGGACTGCTGTGGCCAGGATTCCCTGCAGGTGCTCCTCCTCTCCCTCAAAGAGTGCAAACGTCTCTACTATTGTGGCAAGGATTCCCTGCGGGAAACTAGTTACGTGCATGCTGAAAAAGAGATGAGCTATCAAACCGCAAATCGGGTATCGTTCCAATTTTAACGAATGCACCGAAGGACGTTTGTTTGCTTTTAAAAAAAAAAAACTTTAAAAAAGAAGAAAGGAAATTGGGTATGAAGTGCGACGTCCTAGATTGGTGTTGCATGCACCCATCAGGAAAGTGCTAAGTACACTGCGAGAACAGGGATTTCTGAAGGAGACTTATAAGTTTGTGGTACTTTATACCCACAGCAAAACATGGAATAGTCCCCATGGATCATGCTGACATATTAAGATTCTACAATCGGAGAATATTCGGAATCCTGAATTACTAATCTTTCATGGACAATTGATCATCATTATGGTCGATAGTTCGCTTAAACCACCAGTACTTGGCCCAGCTATCGGTCATGGAAAAGAATAGAGTCGAAACGTTTCTAGTCGGATGAATTTGGGTGCTCCCCATACGTTTCCTAAAATCGTGGCTTGTTAACGGGCAAGACTTTAGGAAGTGCTGGTGGTTTAATGAAATTGCAGTGGGGACTGGTGGTAGCCTACCATTGGGATGCGGAATTCTCCAAACTTTCGACTATTGAAGAGAAAAAATGATAAAAATCATAATAAATTTGCTCGGCGAACCGGTGGGAAAATAATCTCAGTTATTTGGATGACGAGTTGATAACTGATGGAATGCTCGACAGATTGTGGCCAATAAGGTGTTGTTGGTCTGTCAATTTGAAGGTCCATTAGGTGGGGGAAAAAAATGGAGAAACATCCTTTCAGTGTCCATCGAGCTCACCAATCTCCCTATTGTCCTTTTGTGTGTTCCAGATTACCCAATTGCATGCGATGAAAAAGGGTGTGTGATATACCAGATAATCACATAACCAATCCAACCTTACGTGCCCAATGAGCCCGCTATTGGAATTCGGAAATGAACAAAAACAGACAGCACCCAAGGATGCACAGGGATGGGCGAAGCAGATCGGCAGGCAGACAGTGCACAAGGCAAACGAAATAGCAGTAAGACAGCGCGGGGCTGCATCGACAAGGCAGCAACACAAAGCAAGTAGAAGAGAAGCCAGTCAGCAAGGCAGCACTGGCAAGACAATCCACTCATACAGCACAGGCCAAAGGAGATCATCTCCCACTACTCACCCCACAAGTAGAACTCGAGAGACTGTAGGTTCGCACCATCATCGGAGCCAGGGAGCCACTTCGGTAAACGTCTCCCATCACCAAGGAAACACACACGCACAGGCATCTGGCGCACACTGCCCCCCCTAATAGCGTTGTTGCAGCCACTCCCTGCAAACAGGCAGTACTTAGGCATTTACAAACTCATGGTATAAGGCCAGACCACGCAGTTAGTGAACAACATCACAAAGAAAACGCTTTGAAGAAGAGAAAGAGAGAAATTAGTAAACTACAGGTAATTTGATTGTGTGTGTGTGTGTGTGTGTGTGTGTGTGTGTGTGTGTGTGTGTGTGTGTGTGTG